ATTAGGACTTATCTCGGATGGTACTCCCCAAGCGGAGTCCAGGTCTGTCTGAATCTGAGTGATTTTATCCGACAGAAACTGAACGAACTCCTCAGCTCTTCCCTGCAGGGGTTCCCCCACCTCCTCACCTTTCAGGAGGGAGCGTGTCACCCTAAACAGGGCGGCTGGGTGAGATTCCGCGGACGCAATAAGAGCAGAAAAATGCGTACATTTTGCCGCCTGTATCGCCACTAGATAAGTCCTAATAAAGGTTCTTAATAGTGTAGTTTAGAGAAAAAACTGAAATGATTATGGTTGTTTAGACTGATACTTTCAATCAGATTATATGGATTAAAAGGAATTTTTCAATAATATTTGAAAAGACAAACCAAGGGATTTTTCTGGAGAGGTTCAGTGGGTTGGAACCTTGTGATAGTTTGTTACAATCATTTGTTTCTATACAATCACACAGTATACATTGCGAAATCCATAGTGCTCCATTCTTTCTCCCCATATCCTGCCTCTACAGGAAGCCCAGTGGTATTTATTCAAAGGTCTGAAATGCAGTATTATCAAGGTACCAGCAAGAAACTTCCCTGGTCAGAAGAGCCTATCTACTTTAGTATTAAAATATACCACATCAGTTTTCATCTGGTGATCCACATCACACCTTCCAGCAATGAAAACTAAAAATGAGAAAACAAGTGTTCAGAAATTTGATGGAGGAAATAATGAACATTGTTGACTATTCTGATTCAAAATTTAGTGCTATCCATGAATACATAATAGTTTTTAATCTTTATTATATCACTTCTCTTAATTTTTGCAAGTTTGTTCTAGAAAAGTTGGTCTTTCTGTTAACTTTTGATTTGCTTAATATATATTTATATACATATATTCCTTCTTTAGGTAAAAGCTGGACTGGGTATAAACATCATTGGAGTTGCTGTTGTGATGCTCGCCATTATGACATGGGCACAGCCGATGTTCAACCTCCAAACATATCCAGCTTGGGCACCCTTTCCTTCTGCTACTAATATCAGTGTACATTAACGGACGAGAGCAGGTTGCTTCCTTTTTTTCTCCGAACGATGGTGCTAGTTGATAGATCTGTATGGCACAGTACAGCTACGATCTAGGATAAGTTGCCTTTCATAGTTCCATGTCCTAAGTACTAGTCCAGGTGGCTGAAAATCCACAAAACAAGAATGTTACAACCTGAATAATGCAAGAGAAAGTAAGCCTGTACAAATGATCAGTCAATTCTTCCTGTTAAGACTTTGTTCGCCAGAGTTAGAAAATGGCATTTGTACATTATGCATATTCATCATGAATAATTATTTGTTCCTGTTTTGGGGTCACAAAAGAAAATAGTATGATTGCTATAATAATGCTAGAAGAACTATACAGTACATGGACAGACAGATTAATGTATGAGAAACAGATACATTAGATACTAGGGACCCAATGTTTTTAATTTATTAGTCCATAAGTCTCCTAGTCCCATCGTCTTCCAAGATGCTGACCCTTTATGTATTCATATGATATATGACATACTATCAACTAATACTCCCCATGAGCTTTCCTCCCCGACATTTATTGGCTAAAAGGGGGAAAAAATTCCCAAGCAAATAATGAAAGCTTTAGAAATTCCACCTATCATGCTATGATTGTAACACGACAGCTATAGTAGGGTATTGACAGATTCAAACTGTTCCACATTATATTCATTATTTGATATATATATAAAAAAACCCTTTATTCTGAGGATGAAACTCCATACTTCAATTAAGAGTGGAAAAATTTACTATATCATATAGATTTGATATAATCAATTACATCTCAGCCAATTCTTAGTGCTTTATTTTTTGAACTAAAAAATTTAAGCACCTTTTTCATTAATAAAACTCATTCTCAGTCAATTGTGATGTCTCATGATTACATGGACATGTCCCTGCAGTTGTCTTGAGAATAGCACAAAAAATGTTTGCCATTACAAGTGTTTCTTCCAGAAACTTAGGGTTTTTTGTTTTTTTTACCAGCCTAGAGCTCTGGGGTCTCTGGTGAATTTTCCACCCAATTACTAGCCAGTCATAATAATTCTTATTGCCTTACTTTCCAAATGTACTGTGTTCCATTTTAATGAAAACAAATAATCTTGGAAGAATTATAATAATTTCTTGCCCTCTGATTGTAATTTTGGTTAAAAATCTACTTAGAGCCGAGGTGGCGCAGTGGTTAAATGCAGCACTGCAGGCTACTTCAGCTGACTGCAGTTCTGCAGTTCGGCTGTTCAAATCCCACCAGGCTCAGGGTTGACTCAGCCTTCCATCCTTCCGAGGAGGGTAAAATGAGGACCCAGATTGTTGTTGGGGGCGATATGCTGACTCTGTAAACCGCTTAGAGAGGGCTGAAAGCCCTATGAAGCGGTATATAAGTCTAACTGCTATTGCTATTGCTATTATGTATGACTACTACCAAAATTAATGGTAGTTTTTTAAAAAAATTTATAAAAACATGATAATGTCAAATTGTATCTTTATAACTGTTAAAGAAAATTATATTGCATTCATCCATTTCTTAGTCTGGGTGCAAGCTAAACATTCCTTTAAAAGAAGATTGAATAACTTTTTTTAATATATTTATTTTGCTCTTTTGTACTAAAATATCTTTCTTTTAAACTAAATGTAATGTTGAATATTTATGTATCACCAATATTAAATGCTGTAAATAAAATAGTCTGTGAAATTACTTCACAAGAGTGTCATATAATACAAATTTATTTGTGTTACAAACATAAATAGTGTAACTGCTTTTAAAATATAAAGTTATTAGTGTAGAACAAAATGCACAGGTATAGTATAGGTGGCACCTTCCACAATAGTAGTAACTGTGAGAGGGATCTTGGAGTCCTAGTGGACAATCACTTAAATATGGGCCAGCAGTGTATGCAGCTGCCAAAAAAGCCAACACAATGCTAGGCTGCATAAACAAATCAAGATCATGTGAAGTGTTAATACTTTATAATGGCTTGGTAAGACCACACTTAGAATACTACATCCAGTTTTGGTTGCCATGATGTAAAAAAGATGTTGAGACTCTAGAAAGAGCGCAGAGAACAGCAACAAAGATGATTAGGGGATTGGAGGCTAAAACATATGAAGAATGGTTGCAGGAACTGGGTATGTCTAGTTTAATAAAAAGAAGGACTAGGGAAGACATGATAGCAGTGTTCCAATATCTCAGGGAGTGGCACAAAGAAGAGGAAGTCAAGCTATTCTCCAAAGCATCTGAGGGTAGGACAAGAAGCAATGGATAGAAACTAATCCAGGAGAGAAGCAACCTAGAACTAAGGAGAAATTTCCTACAAATGAATTAATCAGTGGAACAGCTTGCCTCCAGAAGTTGTGAATGCTCCAACACTGGAAGTTTTTAAGAAGAAATTAGACAAACATTTGTCTGAAATCTTATAGGGTTTCCTGCCTGAGCAGGGGGTTGGACTAGAAGACCCCCAAGGTCCCTTCCACCTCTGTTATTCTGTTCTGTTATTGCATAATGCACATTCAGTAATTAGCTGACTATATTTCACTTTTTATACATAATTCAAAAGCAATATGACATGCCAGAGGAGTTAATAGACATGTTTTCTTTAATAAAAGGTGCAAAGGCTAGATGATATTTTTGACCAAGCTTTCTTCAGTGATTTTTATTATTTATCATATGTCTTGGAGGCCTAAAACTTAAAAAAAAAACCATAGAATTTCTACACCAAGAAAAAATGTCCATCATTATGTACACATTAACGTTACTTCAGAAGTAGGAATGCTATGGTTACTGCTACATAAGCAATGATTACTAGTGACCTGAAGGCAAATTTAAGGCATGTAAACAAATGAAATGTAGGCGTTAAAAAACATTATTATAAAACAAAAACTGGTGGGTGGATGAATTTATTTTATTTATTTTATTTATTTATTAATTTATAAATTGTTTCAGTCAGATTCTAAACAACATAGAAGAGCAAATGCAGAGCCAGTACAGGCATAAAAGCAAATCTCACGTAACACTTAAACAAATGCAATAACAGAAAATAAAACCTAGCATATCATAAGACAGGTAATTGCAATTTAATTACACTTTTGTTCTCTGGAGTATCTGAATATATCGAAATACAAACACCTTCCAGAACCCCAAGGGTTGCATGAGTGCGGGGTCTGACAAGCTGCTCCAGAAGAGAAAAAGTCTATATTGCAATCTATCTGAGCCGAGGTGGCGCGGTGGTTAGGGTGCAGTACTGCAGGCCACTTCAGCTGACTGTTATCTGCAGTTTAGCGGTTCAAATCTCACTGGCTTAAGGTTGACTCAGCCTTCCATCCTTCCGAGGTGGGTGAAATGAGGACCCAGACTGTGGGGGCGATATGCTGACTCTGTAAACCGCTTAGAGAGGGCTGAAATCCCTATGAAGCGGTATATAAGTCTAACTGCTATTGCTATTGCTATTGCTATATTGTCAAGCCCCCTCTGTTGCAGCCTTTCAGCAGTCATTTAGCTTAGTTTAGAGCTGCAACAGAGGAAAATATGCTGACTCTGTAAATCACATAGAAACGCTATAAAGCACTGTGAAGTGGTATATAAGTCTAAGTGCCATTGCTATTGCTATTAGTAGTCCACTTGAAAGTGGACTACACAAATCACGTAGCAGAAGCATCAAGACTGCCCAATAAGCATATTAGTCTCCTGTTTTCTGCACTGATTAAAATTTCCAGGGCAGGGTTCCAATGGCCCCATATAAAGTATTTTCAGCAATCAATACAAGAGATGACAAGAGCAAGAAGAACTACCTTCTGTGTCCTCCATTCTACTTAAGGTTGCAACAGGTGCCCAGGCAGAGTTGGGCCAAAGTTCTCCTGGATCATAGTCTCCACTTACTTTTCCTGCAGGGGTTGTGAGCCCAGAACGACCTTCAAACTACAGAACAAAATTGAATTGTTGTTTGCTCCTCCCCATCAGATCTTAAATGGCTCAAAACACAAGAAGCTCTGTGTGCATTTACGTGCACAAAGAACAACTTATAGTGAGTGAAAAGAAGAAGAAATCTGATTTTTTTTTAAAAAAAAACATCTTAACATGTTGTTCTAAGAGCTAAGTTGAATATGCAAGAAATGACTTGGTGCTACATTGCTCTTTTTATTTTGTCTAAGTGGCCCCTAGTTATTGAAAAGTGACTGCTTTCTACTTGCTTCCTTAACCAACACACTCGAGCCATCATTATTTCAACAGGCAATCCTAGTGATCAGAAAGTGAAATAAACAATTAAAAAACAGGTCTCACTGGCTAGATTTGACAGACAGAATGAAGTGTCTGCAACCCACATACTTACTTGAAAATGTGTAGAACAGTTTTCTCACTTCTTGTATTTTAATAAGAGGAATGTCTACCCAGGCACCTAATAAGCAGATCATGAAAGTGTCACATTCAAAATGAAGATTTGTTTGCATGGTGGAACTCTTATTTAGATTTACTACCTGACTAAATTGATGGCTTCTACTAAGCCAATATACTGAAGAGTAACATGTTCTGAAAGAGTAGAGGTGTACTTGAATATGTCCACTTGATATTTTCCCTGGCCAACTCAACTCAGCAGAATGTTAGGCTTAAACTAAGTCTGCATGTTCATTTTTAATTTTGATCCCTTACCCATGTGGAATAGATGAGATACTTATACTATATAAATAGAGGACCCATTACATCCAGTTGCTTTGTTCTGTAAAGTGGTATCGCTATGCAGCTTTGTGTCCCAAAATGGGAAAGGTCAGTAAAACATACTTGAGCAGCAATTCCAATAATCAAAATTAATCTATTGTAAAGCCTGATAATCAGGCTGGAGAATAAATTCTGCCAGATTTCACACATCCATTCCTTTTAAGCATATTTTTTTACAGGTGATTGGAGTATTAAGTGCAGAGATGTAGTTTTAAGTACCCTGAAGCCATTTAGTTTTAATTTATTGTTGACTGTGGAGGAAGATTTATGGTCTTAGCCATATCTTCTGTTCCCTTGAATGTACACACATTGGTTAGGAGTGAGTCTAAAAGGAATTTAAATAAAAGCTGACATCCGCACAGAAAATTTATGCAAGATTAATGTGTTGTTTGGAGGGGGAGTAGCTACTCCTCTTTCACAAATTCATGGATTTTTAAAAATGTAAACTTGCATTCAGAATTTATAAGCTATGAGGTGTAGAATTAACAACTTGTTCACAAACAATGGAGAAAATTGGCTCAGACAATTTTTAATATTTAAATAGATTGATAAGTTTACTTTGCCTACCTCCTAGCTGCTGAAATCTAACAGATGGACTGGTACATTATTTCTAAATACCTTAACCAAAGAATAAAAAACACAAAAACATTTGCCAGCTATAATGTCCTTAGGAAAATATCAGGTTTTGGATAGAAGCTTCTATTTTGTTCTGCCATAAACTCTAAGACCCAGGGCAGAGGTAACAGTATTTCTCAAATGTCTTGAGATAATATGAGAAGACTGGCTAATTCAGAAGTTCAAATCACTTAAGTTTATTGGCAGGGTAGTAGCTTTCAATTAAACACACTATGCAAAAATAAGGTATTTAGCAGATAAATTCCTTTGAATTTAATTAAGGAGGTATTTGAACATCTATGTTTAGTTAACCAAGCAAATAAAACAAAATGAAACAAAACCATTTTCTCCCTGGCACACTCTCCATTTTCTCCGATCTGGGCCATTTTTTCTCCAGAACAAAATGGAACTTAAGTGAAAATTCTGGGTTTAAGAATAAAAGGTCATATTATAAAAATGTAAACAAAAATGCACACATACAAAAAAAAAAAAATCACCATGACTCATTTCGATCTGAAAATAATCTTTCAACCATCTTACTTTGTTTTAAGCTAATGAACATATATCTTTTACTTTGAGTATGATTTTTATTCAGTTAGAACTTTTTTCCTACATAATGTACACATTTAAGGATAACACATTCAGGAACGTACAATGTTTCTGCACATTTTTATTTGGCTCCATAGAAAGGAGATGGGAACCACATCTAGTTCATTAAAGGGATGTTTTATTTGATTTCCTTCCTTACCATGTTATGAAAGTAAGAAGGATTTGAAATACCTGTTTATCATTGCTACTGATAAAGACAGTAAAATTGTATGATTGGTTCTTAAAATGGACATTATGCAGTTTATTATTATTTAAGCAGAGGAGATTTTTCCTCTTGCATTGCTAGTGATCAGATTTTT